AAGGTCATACATATGCGGGGCCACGAAGGGCAGCGAGGGGGCCACGAAGGGATGCAACGGGGCCACGAAGGGCAGCGAGGGGGCCACGAAGGGGTGCAACGGGGCCACGACGGGCTGCGACGGGGCCACGAAGGGCAGCGAGGGGGCCACGAAGGGCTGCAACGGGGCCACGAAGGGCACCGAGGAGGCCACGAGGGGCTGCAACGGGGTCACGAAGGGCAGCGAGGGGGCCACGAAGGGCGGCAACGGGGCCACGGAACAAAGCGAGGGGGCCAGGAAGGGCTGCAACGGAGCCGCGAAGGGCAGAGAGATCCTTATTCTTAGGTAGTCTGTGAGGGAGTCCCAAGCGTGAGCGCAACTCCTGGGCGCCTGGGTGTCGGGAGCGCGGCGCTTGAGTAAATTGCAGGAAATTCCAACGCGAGGGCGTTATTCTTCAGTAGATTGCATGCAAGTCTCCAGCGAGAGCGCGACTCCAGAGCGCCGGGAGATCGATTCCTGAATAAATTGTAAGGAAGTCCCAAGCGAGAGCGCGATTCCTGAATAAATTGGGAGGGGGTCTCGTGCGAGAGCGGGGGTCCTGGCTAAAATGTGCGGAAATCTCAGGCGGGAGCCGTTGTCCTTGTAACTCGGGGGCCAGGGGTTCAGTTTGAGCTTCAAGATTTTCTTTGACAAAAGAGGCAGGGTGCGAGCGTCGAGGGGCACATTTTGATTTGGAAAAAAACAGGATGCACCGGTGGGGGGATCAACAACAATTATTCTTCAGAAGTGAGAGTTCAACAACGGTCATGGACAGAGAGCGGGCGAGACGCCGCTCAATTGTACGCGCAGACGCGGCACCTCGAGGCGGGCCAGATCGGCGCAGACATCTGCCCGCTCTGAGAGAAGGCTCTAGGCCCCTTGCTGCGCACATAATATATACTCCAAGTGCGAGGCGGGCGGGCGCGCTGACACGCGCAAGCGCCTCGCGAATCCGAGGAAGAAACACATGTTCACAGATGTCGCCCAGTTAGGCATCGCAGCTGCCAGTGATGAGACGGCTGCCAGTGACTTGAAGTGGGCCCGAGGGGCCACTGCTAAGCCAGTTTTTGGTTATGTCGTGCCTGTCCCACCTGGCGCATCCCAGATCGGAGACGAGGAGGCCTTTTTCATTCTCTCAGGATGGGTGGCGACGGACGGCAGCGCGCTAGATCCTGGAGCCGAGGAGTTGTCTGTAGGTGGCTTTGCGGCAGTGTCTTGGGGCGTGGGGAAGAAGTCGGAGGCCCCGTCTATGTTCGGCCCTGTCCCATTCGCCCGCCTTACCTCGACCCTGCGTGAAATGTGGCCGTCTTCCAGGCCAGCAGACATTTCGTCGAAGGGGGAGCTTCCTGCGCTGCGCCAGACCAGATCACGGCACAACTCTGGCGACAGGTACAGAATGCGTTGGGCGACCAGGGTTTAACGCCTGGAGAAGCATTGCCCGCGGTGAAGATTAAATCGCACACGACGGCTCCTCAGCGGCGGGCCTCGGGGCCCTCGGGGGCCCGCCGTTCTCTCGTGAATCCGGCGGCGGGGCAGCGCGCGCGAGCACCGCGCCCCCCCTGCTTGGAAAGTAGACCGAGCAATGAACGCCTGTAAGCTGCAGCGTCGGGTCCTCCGGTGTATGTATGTGTGTATGCACGCATGTATGTATGTATGTATGTATGCATGCATGCATGTATGTATGTATGTATGTATGTATGTACGTACGTACGTACGTATGTATGTATGTATGTATGTATGTATGTATGTATGTATGTATGTATGTATGTATGCGTGTACGTATGTATGTGTGTATGCATGCATGTATGTATGTATGTATGCATGCATGTATGTATGTATGTATGGATGTACGTATGTACGTACGTACGTACGTATGTATATATGTATGCATGTATGTATGTATGTATGTACGTACGTACGTACGAATGTATGTATGTATGGTTGGATGTACGTACGTACGTACGTATGTATACATGTATGCATGTATGTATGTATGCATGCATGCATGTATGTATGTATGTATGTATGCATGCTTGCATGTATGTATGTATGTATGGATGTACGTACGTACGTACGTACGTATGTATATATGTATGCATGTATGTATGTATGTATGTTTGTATGTACGTACGTACGTATGTACGTACGTATGTATGTATGTATGTATGTACGTATGTATGTGTGTATGCATGCATGCATGCATGCATGCATGCATGCATGCATGCGTACATGTATGTTTGTATGGATGTATGTATGTATGTGTGTATGCATGTATGCATGTATGTATGTACGTACGTACGTGCGTACGTATGTATGTATATGTATGTATTCATGTGTGTATGTATGTATGTATGTATGTATGTATGGATGTACGTACGTACGTACGTACGTACGTATGAATGAATGTATGTATGTATGTATGTATGTATGTATGCGTGTACGTATGTATGTGTGTATGCATGCATGCATGCATGCATGCATGCATGTATGTATGTATGCATGTATGCATGCAGACATGCATGCATGCATGTATGTATGTATCTAGGTAGGTATGTAAGTATGTATGTACGTACGTACGTATGTATGCATGCATGTATGTGTGCGTGTACGTATGTATGTGTGTATGCATGCATGCATGCATGCATGTATGTATGTATGCATGTATACATGTATGTACTTATGTATGTGTGTATGTGTGTACGTATGTATGTGTGTATGCATGCATGCATGCATGCATGCATGTATGTATGTGTGTATGCATGCATGCATGCATGCATGTATGTATGTAGGTAGGTAGGTATGTATGTATGTGTGTATGGATGTACGTACGTACGTACGTACGTATGTATGTATGTATGCGTGTACGTATGTATGTGTGCGTGCATGCATGCATGCATGTATGTATGTATGTATGTATGTATGCATGTATGTGTGTATGGATATATGTATGTATGGATGTACTTACGCACGTACGTACGTATGTACGTATGTATATATGTATGCATGTATGTATGTATGCATGGATGGATGGATGTACGTACGTACGTACGTACGTACGTATGTATGTATGCATGTATGCGTGTACGTATGTATGTGTGTATGCACGCATGTATGCATGTATGTGTGTATGTGTGTAGGTATGTATGTATGTATGTATGTAGGTAGGTAGGTAGGTAGGTAGGTAGGTAGGTAGGTATGGATGTACGTACGTACGTACGTACGTACGTACGTATGTATGTATGTATGTATGTATGTATGTATGTATGTATGTATGTATGTATGCGTGTACGTATCTATGTGTGTATGCCTGCATGCATACACACATGCATGCATGCATGCATGCATGCATGCATGCATGCATGTATGGATGTATGTATGTATGTGTGTATGCATGCATGCATGCATGCATGTCTGTAGGTAGGTCGGTAGGTAGGTATGTATGTATGTATATGTATGTATGTATGCGTGTACGTATGTATGTGTGTATGTATGTCTGTACGACTGAATGTATCAATGAATGTGTGCACGTATGAATGATTGCATGTATGCACGTATCTGTTTTTAGATGTAATTTTCTATGGATATGCAGTTTCAGAGTGGAGCTCAGGAGCAGCGGGGTGATGACCACCGCCCTCCCGCCCTGTCGGTCTGTTTCGGAGAGGTGAGCGATGCCGCCGTCCAGCTGTTGCTCGCGATCGCGGTCCTGGCCACCAGATTAAGCTGTTCGGAGGAGGCCATTGGCAGTTCTGTGGTGGATTCGCCAGGTTTGCCAAGTTCGCCGCCGGACCCGCTTTTGCTAAGCACGAAAATTGTCCTTGCTGGGGAGGACTATTTCCAAGAGGAGGGCGCGTCTGAAGTCCACGGCCCTGTTTCGGGGTGAGGGCATGCGACAATACGCGGAGCTCGGCCTCGAGGCCGCCCGTGAATCGGATCTTCCACTTCCAGCCAAGCCGTCTTCCTCCACGGGAGCACGATATTGTGGAGATGGCGGGTCACGTTGTGTCTAGAAGTTGGGGGCCTCCGTTCGATCCAGTGCTCAAAGACTGCTTCGGGAGTGTGATGGCCCATTGCGTAAGGAGGTGCCTGCCCATAAGAGTCGGCGCCGATATCGTGACCGTATCGTGGAATGTCGGGATCCTTACACGGGCTTGACCAGGAGGGGGATTGATGGTCATCCGGATCCCATCCCTAAGCGACCCCCGTTCGGGAGTGCGTGTCCGAGGAGGCGGCGGAGGAGGAGTAGGAGGAGGAGGAGGGGGAGGGGGAGGGAGAGGAGGAGGAGGAGGAGGAGGAGGAGGACGAGGACGAGGACGAGGACTGGGACGAGGACGAGAACGAAGACGAGGACGAGGACGAGGAGGAGGTGCAGGTGTGGCAGACGCTACAGCCATGGCGAAACAAAATAATAGAAAAAGGAACAGGTGTGAAAACGAGGGAGGAGGACCTACATATCCGACGTCATCGATGTTTCGTCACGCGGCTCCCCAGAGGTCTGCGCTTCTTTCCCTGGACCGGCTTTCCATGCTGAGCCGTTGTTGTTGTTGTTGTTGTTGTTGTTGTTGTTGTTGTTGTTGTTGTTGTTGTTGTTGTTGTTGTTGTTGTCCCAGGGTTGGGTGAGAGTCCCCAGGAGGGGAAAACGTACGAAAATTGGTCGTCGCGGTTTTTGCTCACGGAGCGAGGGGTTCTGAGGATGGGGGGAGGAAGAGGAGGAGGAGGAGGAGGAAGAGGAGGAGGAGGAGGAAGAGGAGGAGGAGGAGGAGGAGGAAGAGGAGGAGGAGGAGGACGACAAGGCGGCAGCGGCGGCAGTAGGTGAGGAGGAGGAGGAGGAGGGAGGAGGAGGAGGAGGAGGAGGAGAGGAGGAGAGGAGGAGGAGGAGGAGGAGGAGGAGGAGGAGGAGGAGCAGCAACAGCAGCAGCAGGAGGAGCTCCCCCTCGTCCCTCCTCTCCCCGCTCCCTGCGGCGCCGCGCGCGCGGGCCGTGGAGGTGGCCCGAGTTCTTCCGCTCCTGGGCTGACGGCAGCACCGTGCTCGTAGGCGGCCCCTGCCGCCAGCCGCCGCCAGCACAAGGCTATGTTCGGTCTGCCTTGTCCGTTTCGGTATCGACCTCGGCTGGCCCGTTCCGATCCGATGCCGATGCTCCGTCGATCCGACGCGGTCCGATGCCTGCGTGGCGTCGTTGTGCAGCCTGGCGCGGCCGGCCCGCTCCGATGCCGCCTCCGCGCCGAGGCGCCCTTTGCCGACGCACATACCGATTCGATTCGGCCTTCCGATTCGATGCTGATCGGTCCTGTCAGTGGTCGCCGCTCGTCCGAGGCGGGAACTTATGCATGACCACCGCCTGGAGGGTCAATTTTCGGGGACCTCGACAGGCGGTGGATATGGATATATTCGGGCCCCCGGGGGCCAAAATGTGTCCATATCCACCGCCCGCTGGGGCACCAGGACGTCGGTTTCCAGGCGGTGGATGTGGATAAATCCCCGCCTCGGAGCTCGCCCCGCGGGCGGTCTGGCCCCGTCGGGGCCCCCCCGTCGCCCGTCGCTCGCAGGGGCAACGCTCTTGTGGAGGGGGACAGGTTCGGGGGGTGACGACGTTCTTGGAGTCGGGGGTTCGAGGCTTCCCTACGTGTGTTCGCTCTCTGCGAACAGCGGCTGCGCCTCGCCGAAGGGCGCCTGCCTGGGGCTGTCTGGGTCTTCCCGAGCGGCCGCCCCGGAACGCGGATGCATGACCCGAGAATCAGGGGGCAACGTCAGGGGGGGATAGGTAGGCAGTCGGGCATGTTCCTCTACAGGAGGAAGTCACCACATAGTCGGGCAGTCTCCCAAATAGTCAAAACATAGTTTGGGGACGACTTTTCGACCATTTTCGATATTTTTGACGATTGAGTTTTCCTCCAAAATCCGCCTGTCGGGGGTCGTGCCCGACGTAAGGATAGACTCGAGGGGGGAAGCATCGGCCTCAGTTGCCCAATCATCGCCGGTCGGAGCGCGATTCGATGGCCCACCCCGCCCAGGAACGTGCGGCTTCGTTATCGAGAGCTTATCGCCGATGCATCGGCGATTCCAAGTCGATGTTTCCCCCCTCCTCAGCAGTTCCCCCCAATCATTCCCCCTCGCGTTCGGTAAGCATTCAGACCTTCAACCTAGCTGAAACATTGAGGACTTTCACGGCGGGCGGTTACCATGCTTTCCACGGCTGTCGCTGGTTGTCGGAGATCTTCTCGTCTCGGGATTCTCGCGTAGTGAACAAAAAATCACGGTGGAACGTTGGGACGTTGGGGGCCTACATCGAGCCTCGGTCCTTAAGAAATCATGGTCCCGCTTATGATTAAGAAACCTTCCCCGAAAAGCTGGCCCAGCGTTTCTTAACCAACTTTCTGGAAAGCTGGCTCAGCTTCTTGATCATATTTTTGACTGTACTGGGCCCAGACCTCTGGAGCCTCCAGGGGGTGGGGGGACACAAGATGAACGAATCACGACGTCGGGGGATCGGGGTCTGCGCCTGACCCCTCCTATTCGGCGGGGGATGACTGCACACCAATTCGCCAGGGGCTGGGGGTCCGGAGGTGGTGGGGGCGTTTCCACTCGGGAGCCTCGCGACGGGGGTCAAATGCAAACGGGGGTCAGCCAGAGCGCCCGATCTTGCAGGATCCTGCAGGGCCAGGGGCGCACTGAGCCGGGCTTGTGTGCAGGATCATACGCATTGACCCGGGTTTGGGTGCAGGATCTGGCAGGATCTTGCAGGATCCTGCAAGGCCTCGCTGACCCGGGTCTGGATTGACCCGGGTCAGCAGATCCCCGAAGATCCCCGATCCACGCTCAGCGCAGGATGGCCGTCGGAACGATCGAGGTCCCGACGACGCCCTGCATGACAATTGTTCGCCCGTCGCCGCATGCCCCCCTCTCGAACTCAGTCGCTTTAATTGTGGGACCCCCTGCTCGCAAATCGGCGCCTGGCCTTGAGCCTTGCCTTCCCCCGACATCCGATGTGAAGGAGGGTCCAGCGCCGATCCAAGACATCCGCGCGGAGTCCCTAAAGTTTCTGTTTGTGCAGGTGCTGCTTAGTCCATCCCGCCATGATTCTTCCACGGCGCGAGGATGTCAGGGCCTGCCGCTGCCCAGGCGACGCCGTCCACCCAATGATGCCCAACCTGGGCCAGGGCGGCTGCCAGGCGATCGAGGACGCGCCCTTGACCCCCTGCCGCCACGCCTCTGCGCCGCTCGTCTCTCTCTCTCTCTCTCTCTCCCTCTGTCTGTCTGTCAGTCTGTCCGTCTGTCTGTCCGTCTGTCTGTCTGTCTGTCTGCCTGCCGGTGTTTTTGGGGACATCTTCGGCTTCGGGGGCCCTCACCCCCGGACTGTCAAAACACAGCTCGGAGTGAACAGCCGGTCCGGTGACACGAGTCGAGACCTTCGGGGGCCCACGTCGTGAACAAGATCATGACGTCGTAAACAAGATCATGACGTCGGGGGGGGGAGTATCGTGGCCGAGGCCGTGGTGTTCGCCCCGATCGCATGGCCCCCCCCCGTCTCATTTGTGGAGTGCCAAACTCCGGATCCGCGGGCAAATCTTCCAGATCGGCACCGAGAGAAGGTGGTGCGGATATGGGGGACAGGGGTGCGAGTCAGGCTACTAGCTCTCGCTTCTCTGCTCCGCGGCTTTCTTCTCGCTGGCACCATAGGCTTGCGCGTGGATGCATGGGACGCGCAGCGACGATGGAGTTCAGCTTGGTTGGGATAGCCTGGCCTACTGGAGCCCAACAAACAGAAGATGGGGGGGAGGACGCAGGGGAGGACGAGGACGGATATGAGAATAACGAAGAGGGAGAGAAGGGCGAGGGTGGAGGCTACTGATTCCCGCTGCTATGCGGAGGGGCCAAGTCTGCTTCACTGGCATGCCCTCCCCCCCTGCTCGTTGAGGGCTTCACGACTTCTGCCGCCTCGACTCGCGCTGGCGCGGCCACGTTGGCCCCACATTCTCTCGAAGATCTTTGGGGCCACCTGGGTTCACCTGAAGCTACTTGGGTTTACCAGGATGCTATCTTTGCGTTTCGCCAGGAGCCAGTTGCTCGGGTTTGCCAGGTTTGCATGTGCCTTGATTCGTCGGGCTCGATCCCCACAGTTCGCTTGGCGAAGAGCAGTCGTAAGCCCTCGGGGACCTGCAGTGGCCCTGAGCCCCGAGATCCCGACATCCGGGCGTCGCAGCTTTTTCGCGTGGGGCGTTTTCTCCCAGCTGCGGGGCCTGGGGCCCTCTTCTTGATGGCGCTTCTTGATGGCCTCGCGACGTCGGATCTCCGCAGCCGCAGCGAGGACGCGTACGAGCTGACCCGCACGCTCAAGGCGCTGACGACGTACTCGAGCACCACCGTGGAGCCTGAGGCATCGATCGCCCGCAGTTGGCCCAGACCTCCCACTCCCCCTCCGAAAGATCTGCTCCAGGTTTTCCCAGCTGTTGGAGGTTTTATCGCCCCCAGGTGCCTGCATGCAGCACCGCCACGCCGAGAGCGTTCCGTGGAGTTCCGAGCCGCTCCGGACGGCCTCCGGAGGTCCGGGTCTTCCTCCGTTTGTGGCCTCTGAGGGCCCTCGCTTGGCCCCACGGCTTTCAGGAATCTTTCCTCTGGGAGTTTCGGGGACCCCGCCTTGAAACCGAAATGCAGTCGGCACGTCAAATAAGCATCGGCCTGCCCGCAAGTGTGCACCACGGGAGTTTCTTCTTATTCTTCGCTGGCCCTCGGGGCCCACCCACAGGAGCTCTGGGGCACCTCAGGGCCTTCAAAGATCGACGAAGAATTTGCCGCAGGATTTCTCATAGCAAGGTCTCTTATCGAACGTACCCGCTGTACACTGGTGGGACAGTCGGTGCTGGGGGGTCGTCACTGCCTCCTGAGGGGCCAGGGCCGAGGCCCAGGCACCCGAAGGACGGACCTGTCCAACCCCGGCGTCTTCCTCCTTGAATTCTGCACCGGGGGGTCGGCCTCGGGCCCCTGGGCCATCAGAAGAGGAGCTGGGTCGGTATACAAGTGGGAGCTCTGGGACTGAGAATCGACCCCCCTCATCGCGAGCCACGCAGAGCAGACAGTCGGCCCTGATTAGTGGGTCGACCCTGATAAATCAAGGGTGCCCCTAGGTACCCGTGTGTCCTGTGCCTCGCGACCCATGCCTCCTACATCCCCCACGGCAATGTGGCCCTCGGAAGGGTCTTGTGTCCTCTCGTGTATCCTGTCCAATCAAGGCCGACTGTATCCATATCCGTGCCCTCGTGCTCTGAACGCCGAGGCGCGATAGCCTTGGAGACGCGAGCCCATGGATACGCTCCGCGCGGGGCATACGCGGCAAGCCGCCCTGTATCCAGAGGGGGAGGAGGAGGAGGAGGAGGAGGAGGAGGAGGAGGAGGAGGAGGAGGAGGAAGATGAGGAGGATGATGATGAGGAGGAGGAGGAGAGGGAAGAGGAGGAGAGCTGGGAGCCCCTCTCCCCTTTCCCTGCCCCCCCCCTCCCTGTCCTCCTGCCGCGCGCCGCTGCCCCCCCCCCCCCCTCAAAGCGACATGGGGTCGCGGCCAGGGAGCCCACACCACGACCACGGTCACAGGCAGCGCCAAGGGAGGTCACCACAACGGCGGGCCCAGACTCCCTCGCGTCGTGGGAAAGTGTCAGGGCGGACGGTGTGCCAGGTTTCGGGCCACGGGCTTTGGCCAGGCCCCAGGGACGTCGAGCAGTTCTTCGGGATGGATAACATAGCAACTCGAAGGTGCGCGTGGATTTCTTGGATTGGCGCTGGACCCCCCTCCCTGGCGCGCGGAGCGCACCAGGGGCGACGCCGGTCGCGCCGCTGGGGAGCCGCAGCGCCAATCCGAGAAATCGGCGCGGACCTCCGATGTAATACAGTTACGCGCTTGCACCCTTACATCCCAAGGGCCATCCACCACCTTTGGCCGCGAGCCTTCGTTGGGTTACTTCTGTTCTCCCCCCGTAAAGATGGAGCGCTGGCCTTCTCTGTGGGCCGCTGCGGGGGGCCCCCTACCCCTTCCTCGTCTGTCTAG